ATCTGCTGACGGACACCGTGCTGCGTTGTCATGGGAACATCCCAGCTGAAGATAATGAGGAAATTACATCGCTTCCTTTGCCAAGTGCATTCCAAACGACTACATAATGGCACGCACGTGCCCTGCTCACTCCAAAGTCCCCACTCCAAGGGGATAGGGATGATCACTTCCATTTGGTATTTGCCCCGTGAATTGTTCGGTACCAATACTCTTTATATACATCAAAAGTCCAAATGCATTTTTAGAACAGAATGTTTTACTAACCTGAAAATGCAATAGCCAGAATGAAAATGACGAGTCCTAAAATTACTACTATGAGAAAAATCATACTGCAAAAGACAAATTTGATGAACATTCAATATTGATTTATTATACATACTATAATTTTCAGCCTGATGGTTTGAAAAAGTATTTTACCTTCCAAAGATTATTTGTCCTATTGAAGCCATTCTGGTGACCTGTTCCTACATTTAAGCAGTGTCTTTGAGGAATTGATGTATACCACTCTGCTCAGCATCTCTGTAGACGGCATAATAAATCAACAGGCTAAAACGGATGAGCGCTTTCTAATCCCCTCAGACTAGTTTCAAACAGCACCTCCACTCTGTGTCAATATTACCTCTGAGAGGTGTGTCCTGACACTCTTGATAACACATAGCTTGAATTAACCATTTCATCTAAATAATAAATTGGGAGTGTGCTTATAACACTAAACACAAATGAGTTTCTTTCTTCTGCTGTACACAAAAGAAGATCATTTTGAAGAATTCTGTTAACCAAACAGTTGATGGCCATTGACTTCCATAGTAGGAAAAAAAACTATGGAAGTCAATGGCTACCATCAGTTGTTTGGTTAGCAACGTTTCTTCAAAATACCTTCTTTTGTGTTCAACAGAAGAAGGAAACTCATACAGGGTTGGAACAACATGAGGGGGAGCAAATAAAGACAAAATATCAATTTTTGCATGAACTATCCCTTTAAGGAAAAAAGATGTACAAAAACCTGTAATTTTATGCACAACTTAATGCTTAAAACGAAATGAATGTAGGGTCTTGATACGTTATTTTAAAACTTTTTACATTTCCACCTTGAAACATGTTCATGCGTTAGATGCTAAAAAAAGTTATAAAATTAAACAACTAAAATTATTTGCCTTGTACAATACAATACACATTTCTTCCTAAATGTAGTCTGACTAGAGCTATGTGTCAAGTTTTTATTGACACACTTATTGAGAAAGTGGTGTTTGATAATGGGCTTTGTCATTATGAGTTACTTTTGTGAAATTGGTGTATGATTCTGAGAAATTATATACCAGCTGAAAAACACATTCTGGCACATGTATGTGGGAAAAACATATTTTGCAATTGTGGTCTTGGACGCAGACATCAGGTGACTTTTGCTGTCTTCACTTTTCACAAAAATATACAGAGGAGCCCGAACCTAGTGTATGCTGGCACATGCAACTGGTTTATCAAGAGTTCAGGTTATGATTAAATCAATCCTCATGTGAATCAATTTGTTTCAGAGAAATAGCATGATCCAGATTTTATACTGCATCCTAATGCACCAAAATGTTAAATCACAGTTTTGTTTTTTTTTTTTGATCTGGGAAAATGACTTTGTAAAATGTACAATGAAAAAGAGATATATTTGAGGATGTACACTGTAAAAAATTATTATTTTTTTTTAAAGTTGTATATAAAACAACAATTATTGGAGTAGGTTTTAAAAGAATATACTATTTTAGTCTTTTTACTTCAAAATTTGACATTTAATTCAATGTGTTATTTGCCATTTCTTTGTAACTGCTTGTCAAATGCACAAACGATTTCTGAGTGAAAATTGCTTGAAAGTAAATCTTACACCATTTTTCAGTATCAAAATAGTTATTGTACAAATATCTGTTAATTTACAGCAAATTTGTCTACAAAAGTTTTTGGAAAGAAGAAGTTCAAATAAATGCAGCAGGCGATATCCCTTTTGATGCACAGAATACATCTAATTATGTGAATGTATATGACTGGATAACTGGACAAATGTATAAAATATTCCAGGACATTTATTTTGTGAAACTGTATAATAATAAGGAAAAATGGGAGATTGAACTGGACATAGACGTTTTAAGGAAGCATTTCTTTCAAAACAATCTGGCAATATATATTTATAGTTATTTCATCTCATTTTTTATTTTATTTTTTCATTCTGTTATTATTGATTAATTTATTCATTCATGTAAAGAAAGAAAACACTGTTGTTGGAGTATCATGAGCTGTACATGAAATCACTCAAACGCTTATATTGAAACCATTGCATTTTTTAAACAAATTCTCTAAATGTCACTTTCAAACTTCCAAAGAGGAACCCATTGATTTGTTGGCAAGACTGTTCAAAACCATCTTGAGAAATGGTTTTTCTAGACATCTTGACTGATATAAAGTGCCTCAAGAACTCAGTCAAGACTTCAGGAGAGAGGAAACAGCTATTTGTTTTGAATCTCTGCATCTGAGCTTCAGCTGATCAACAATGCCTCATCTTTTCTCTGATATTCCAGACAAACTGTGCTTGATATTGTCACAGGCTTTTCAGTACATCTTTAATTCTCAGTTTTCGTGCACATGCACACCTGCGCTTCATTATATTGTGGCCATATACCTTGCGCTCATTCCTCTGACATTGTTTTTTATTTTTACAGACATTTCTGTGTTTTCTATTAGTGGTGGCTGGGTGATATAAAATTAATCATGTTTGGACTATTGCAGTTTGTTTTAACTTGTACTTGTACATGTACAAAATGTACTTAGTCAATTTGTTGGTGGATAGAAGACTGTTAATACAGTTTTGTGTACCAGACAATCACTGGTTTTCAGACAAGACTTGCTTGCTGTTAACGGGTTTTGGGTATTAGACAATTTTGCTGACTAGTTGTTCTGTTACCAGACAAAACTGATATTTTCTGACAGGATCTGGAGCCTCATTTATAAAGCGTGCGTACGCACAGATTTGATCTTAGAGTGTGCATATAGTTTGAAGCACCAGTGTGTGTGTGTGTATGATTACACCAAAGACTGTGACTGTTTTTCCTTGAGATGCTAATGTTTATTTGAATTTAATTTATTTGAAAAAAGACAGCACATACACACAACAAATCATTTCACAAATGTAATTTTATGTTTTAAATGATAAAACAACATACTGCATCATAATCATAGTTAATGTGATGAACTACGGCTGTTTGTTGCTCTGCTAGGAAATCTGTGTGAACTTGAGAAGAAATTAGTTCATACATTCACTAAAAATCACAGCGACATTTGATTACAAGTCATTGATCTAGTCTTGGGAGAAAAAGGCTAGCAAAAAGTTTCTACGTGACAAATATGTCCATACGTCTCTCTAGAACAGGTTTGAGTGGGGAATATGGGTGTGGAGAATCACAGCCCAGTAGTTGACGTGTAGATGATTCCCAATCCCGGCCGATCTCCAGCCTGCTGCACACACACGGATACTGTCTGTCTGTCCGGCAGGCCCAGTCCACGGCCCTCTTCACTGCCTCCCAGTACATCGGTCTGAATGGAGACGAGCAGAAAGTCATGGATCCAACAATACAAGAGTCAATCACTACACCGCATGAGGACATGTGCTGGTACCTGGGCTCCTGGGACTCTTTTAGTCGGAGGAGAGACTCGAGCAGCCGTCCCAATTCCAGCTTCTTCACCCGGATCAGCTGCAGCACCAGCAGAGTCGCCACCAGCCTCAGAATTTCAGCATGAGCCTTCACACCTGACACACAAAACATGTGACTGATTAACTGATTCTGACTCACAAACGGTGTCTGAAAAATAAAGATCTGATTATTTTAAGCTATATTCAGATTTTGTACTTTAAACTGGAAAGCACTTTCTCATTCTATCAAGCTCTACTATGATTGGCTAGTGCTACATAGTAAAGACACACAGGTGTTTCTCTCAGTCTGTCTGGAAACAGTTGTGTTCACAAGGTACATATATGGCACCTAAATGGCACATATGAACAACTGTCTAAATGGGGAGTTCTTGCTGAGAATAAGCTGCAATATGGTCCAGACCAGCAACAGGCATGTAAAAAATCTTCTTACCAAAAGAACGGATGCCTTTCTCCTGAAGGAAGACATTTGCAAAAAAGTCTACGTCCAGGTTGAGGAAGCTGCTCAGCCTGTCAGTCAACTCCCAGTATCCATCCTATATCCAAACACATCGCATATGTTCAGATTCCTTCACACATTCACATACTGTATATAATCTAGTGTATTAAATCATGTGTAAACACCTCATGCTGAAGTTCGAACAGCCCATTCCAGGCCACTGTGTCTGGTCTGCTCATCGGTTTTCCCGGAAGCGACAGACCCATATTCCCTCTACGCATAGGAAAGCCTTTGGTTCCAGCATAATAAGAAATGAGACATACGTTTGACAAATGTTTTTAATCCATCTGAACATTGATCAGATATAGAAACTCATCAATGTGAGTCAACTTACCAGGTGCAGAAAACACAGGATGTTTTTGTTGTTGCTGAGATGCTCCAAAGCTAAAAACTGAGAAACCAGAAGACTGTTCAGGCTCAGCTGCCTTTTGCAGGACACCAGTAGTGCCACCAAATACAACGGCATTTGACATGCCAATAGCAAACTCAGGAACTGTAGGTTGACCAAAGAGAACAGAAGGAGCAGGAAGAGGGGGAGCCGGGGAGGAAGCGGCACTGTGTGTAGCTTCATCAGAGAAAGGATAGAAAAAGGAGACAATTATATAAAAATGAGACAAAAAACAGAAAGCTGCTATTACTTCATCTAAACATTGATCACAGATGAAACCTCATCAATGTAAGTCAACTTACCAGCTTCAGAAGTCAGAGCGGCTATTCGTTGTAGTGGTTCTTGTCGTGCCTTTTTCTGCAGTTCCAGAGATGCTCCAAAGAGTCCAGTGGCTGAGGAACCATAACCCACATACCCATTTGTACTTTGGAGGAAACCACCAAAGCCACCAGATACAGGGAGAGAGGGAGGTGCAGACAACACAGGATGATCAAAGCCAGCCCTGCGCCTCCTGGAAAAAGATGCACCCACCCTGCGAGAAATAGGAGGGGGAGCAGGGCTTGGAGTCATAGACATGAATGGCTGAGATGCGAGACGAGGAGGATGAGGAGGATCTGTAAAGAGAGTACGTGTTGAGGTGTCAAGCTCGGTGTAGATCTCTGTGGCACAGGAAAAGGTAGAACTCATGGGGCAAATTATTGGAGTCATTTCTTTCTGGAAATCAAGTCCGTAGTCTATGTATTCCCCTGATTCAGATCTACTAGAATAAGAGTGAGGAGGTTCTGAGGAAAAAAGCTGGGTGGCAGGGGAAATGAGATGTCTGTCATTCAAGGAGCCAGTTCTGGACATCATGGCATTAAAAGAAGGATGAGAAGAAATCTGTTGAGTCTTGAAAAGAGGTTCCATTAACTCTTGACGGAGACTACGAATGCAAGGAGGACGAAGAGCATCCATTGAGGCACCTATGGTAGCCGTGCCTGTCTGGGAATCAAGGCTGTAATCTAAGGGGAGAGATTCGACTGCCTCAAAGTTACAGCGAAGGTCAAAGAGAGGAGGCATTGAGGCATTAACCTGGGAGGCAACTGGAGGGGGAAGCCTGTCACTCAAGAAGGCACCAAAAGAAGGAGGAGGAGGAGAAAGTCTGTTAGCCAAGGTGAGAGGTTCTACTGACTCTTCCTGTAGATAAAAGGGTTTAGGACTAGGAGCAGCCATTGATGCACCAAGCTCGATGGAAAGGTAAGGGGGATACATTGCATCTACAGCTAATTTAGTTTTCACATAGCCTTTGACAGCCTCAATTCTACCTTCAAAACCTGAAGGACGCCAGGGGCTACTGGAGCTAAAAGGAGAAGGGCAAGCTGCAGATGTTTGTCCTATAAAATCATTAATAGACCCATAGCCACCCTCTGAATCATCATCATCATCAAAATCGGCTGCTCCACGAGCACAACCCAGAATTTCTTCAGATGTGGAGCTACAGCAGCTTCCCTTCATCTGAAAAAAAAAAAAAATCAAAATCATTGTTGTGAATACTGAAGAGCTGAATACCGAACGATGTCAACTTTTATCACTACATGACATAACAGATTTAATAGACCCTTTTTTTGTTACCCATACATCATCTTCTTCAGCACTGCTAATATGCACAGCCTTCAGCTTCCCTTCAGTCCAGCCCATATATGGCAAAGTATCCACATCCTCCTCTGATATGATTTTAGAAAAATCTGTAAATCCAGTGTCAAGCTCATTCTGCTCCTGCAAAGAGCCAATAAGAGTATTAGTTGGTATTTTTAATTGTCATTCAGTTTAAAATGATTCACAGAAATTAATTCAAAGCATATTTTACTTAGAATTACTTTGATTCTACCTTTTTGTGCAAAAAAAGTGATTCCCTGTTTGTACAGATGTTTACTTTTTCTTTATTACCAATATTAAACACTTTATTTGTGTGTAAACTATTTATTATAATGGCATGACTAACTAGATACAAAACATGAAAAAATATATTTTTACAAATTTTTTTAGAGACTGTATATGCAGGTGCATCTAAAAAAATTGGAATATCGTGAAAAAGTTTTTTTTTTTTTGTAACATTTCAAAAAGCGAAACTTTCATATATTCTAGATTCATTACATTTAAAGTAAAACATTTCAACAGTTTTTTGTTTTAATTTTGATGATTAGAGCTTGCAGTTCATGAAAGTCAAAAATCCAGTATCTCAAAATATTAGAATATTTACATCTGAGTTTCATTAAATGACCATCAATAATGGGGAAGACTGCTGACTTGGCAATGGTCCAGAAGACAATCATTGACACCCTCCACAAAGAGAGTAAGTCACAGAAGGTCATTACTGAAAGGGGTGGCTGTTCACAGAGTGCTGTATCAAAGTGTTACGACCTCGAGTTGGTCTAGGGGTACTGGAGTCTAGCATTTAAAAAAGATAAGACATTAAAGGGGTCCTATTATGCTTTTTTTGTTTTAATTTTGATGATTAGAGCTTACAGCACATGAAATTAAAAAATTCAGTATCTCAAAATATTAGAATATTTACATCTGAGTTTCATTAAATGACCATCAATAATGGGGAAGACTGCTGACTTGGCAATGGTCCAGAAGACAATCATTGACACCCTCCACAAAGAGAGTAAGTCACAGAAGGTCATTACTGAAAGGGGTGGCTGTTCACAGAGTGCTGTATCAAAGTGTTACGACCTCGAGTTGGTCTAGGGGTACTGGAGTCTAGCATTTAAAAAAGATAAGACATTAAAGGGGTCCTATTATGCTTTTTCACTTTTTCAACTTTAGTTAGACTGTAATGTTGCTGTTTGAGCATAAAAAAGATCTGCAAAGTTACAAAGCTCAAAGTCCAATTCAAAAGGAGATACTTCATTTAACAGAAATCACTTCTCAAAAACTACAACAAATGACTCGTTTTGGACTACAATGCATATTTTCCGGTTCTTATCAGAAAAGGTTAAATAAAGTATTGTCTTTTGTTGTTATGGGCGCGTCTACGGATTTCTTGCCATATGTCTACAGTATGTGTCTTGCATCTCACGATTATGTTGTGTATGAAACACAACCTAGTATGAGAGCCTGTTCTAGTACACCCCCAAAACAAAATCAAGACTTTGTAAAAGAGCATAATAGGACCCCTTTAAAACAATTTAAAAAAAAAGTTTTACTTTACATGAAATTAATCTAGAATTTATGAAAGTTTCACTTTCTGAAATAAGTTACAAAAACAAAACAAACAAAAAAGAACTTTTTCATGATATTCTAATTTTTTGAGATGGACCTGTATATATTGGCATTGAAAATATAAAATCAGTCAACCACTACCCAAGCTACAAATGTTTTATTTCTGAGGATAAAAATAAGCTACTTAACACAGATTTGTCATTAATTCTGAAACTGGATGTTTATTTGTCATTATGTTTAGCATCGGTGCCTTAAACACACAATCCTTAAATTAGCAGCAATCATACCCTCTCTTCAATGGCGACAAAGCTTGTGAAATGGGACAAGATGGAGAACTCTTTACTGAGCTCAATGATGTAGGACTTCAGCTCTGCTTTCTTCCCCTGATAAAGAGATAAAAGATGGCAAGTCAAGTTCTTCTGTTAGTAAATCTGCCAGTTATATAAAAAATATCATCACGCAGCCAAATATTGTACCTCGTGTTCTGCCTCACTGTTAGCTAGAATGCCATCTTCATAGTCTCTGATGATCGCTCTTGCTGTTAACTTGTGAAGGAACTACACACACACACACACAACTCTTCAAACGCCTGATAAACAATTGATGATGTTGCAGATTACATTAAGTATTTAAGATGCTCACTCACAGTTCCCTTTGTCTTTTGTAGTTCTGTGGTGGAAACCATTGTTTTGATCTCTTGTCCACTCAAATCACCAAACAGTGTGGCCTAAATGAGTAAATATTACACAATTCAAAACAATAAATAAACACAAATAACTAGGCAGTTATTTTAAATCTTGACAAATCTTGATAGTTGATAGTTATTTTAATAATTTAAAATAACTAAGCCATGTTTGCACACTGCTGGTTACTAAATTAAAAATCATATGAAGAATGATATTTAATTATTTTCATTAATTAAATGCACCAATCCGGGGAGTGGAACTGGGACATGAATTTACATAAAACATTTCCAAACACCACTGCATGCCACTGGAACAAATATAAAAGTAATCTGTAAAAACGTCAGTATTTATCTACAGTACATATATTTTTATTGAAATATTTTAATGTATCAATACATTCTTGATACATCGACATTCAGTGTTCATGAACATTTTTCAGTGATTATGCAAATGTTGATTCAGTTTTGAATCAATTATTTGAAACCGTTTGAAGTGATTCACAACAATGAAAACATACCAACTCTATCTGTAACACTGAAGAAACACAAAAATGACCACTATATTCATGATGTTGCCTATTTTTTGTTGTGAATATTCAGTATATGACCCATTCCTAATAACAACTACAATAAGTAACAATGCAGCTTTTAACTTAAGCCTGTCTACCTGAGTGCAGTGTGGCACAAATCCGTATAGGAGAGTGTGACAGTCACTGAAGAGGGCGTGAAGCTGTGAGGGGGCTTGAACAGGAGGGGGCGCTGTGGGGTTAAACTGCTGCCACTTCACTGCCACTGATCTGCAGCCTAGAGACTCCATACGCTGAACCTGAGCGCGCACCTGAAATTAAATTACCCACAAATCTCTTCAACGCAAGCCTCAGACTCAAGCCTGGCCCATATTGGAAAGATATTATTTCCTTTTAAGTTATTTAAAAAAATACAATGAAGAGTGTGATTCACCTTCTCTGTCCAAGTGTGTTTCATCTTTGTGTCAAAAAATTCATATGTTCCTCCACCTGCCTGAGCCAAAGCTCTGAGCATATGACGATTAGCTGTCAAGCTAGACAAACACAAACACAATCAAACTGTACGCTCATAAATTCAGTGTAATTGAAGGAGAAAAATAAAGAGATTTGTTTAAAGGCAGACCTGAGTCCGCAGGTGAATAGGCGCGTGTGGCAGGAGTTTTCTCGGACCAGCTGTAGGGTCAGAGGCTGGTTCTGAACATGTCCATCAGAGAGCAGCAGGATGTTCCTCACACCCCGGCAGGGAGGCAGCAGACTCAGGCTCCGGAGAGGCCGCCACAGATCAGTGCTGCCACCAGAGCCGCCACACGACTGAAGAGAGGAGAAATGCAATGATACGCAAAGAAACTGAGTTTCAGAACCATCTTTAACCATTTGTAAACATTACTCACCATAATAAATTTTCTGGCTGCTTCAGATGCCTCATCTAAACCCACTGGTGCAGGAAAAGCTTCCCTGTAATCTGTAAAAACACACATTTACCCATAATGCTTCACTTTGCATCACGAAAATAAGAGGGATATAAAAATGTCCACATGATGATCAATAAAACAGTATCAGACAGTTTCAGTGAGCTCTAACCAGTGCTGAAAGAGATGATGTTGATCTTCAGTGAGCGGTGCAGAGATTTGAGGACTTGAAGGGCAATCCTGCGGGCGTTCAGCATGGCGTCTCCCTGCATGGACTTGGAGGAGTCCAGAAGAATGACCACATCGCTCACACTGGACGGACCTCCAGAGCCGGACACCCCACTTGACTTAAAGTCTGGATAAAACACCAGCATGCAGGCCTGCAGGGATCAGATCCGTATCAGTGTTCATGTTTGTCAGCGTGCGTAAGATGGAAAGTGGCATTTTTTGTGTGCAATAACCATGACAGATAGGAAAACAGATTTGATTAATCATTTCTTTACCTGACTATCTTTATCCGGATGGTTCTCGACCCACATCCTGGGCATGTGGATATTAGAAAGACTGAAGGACACCTGTAATCCTTCAGATCCCAGAGTCTGTCCCGGTAACGTGCTGATCACTGCCTTACAGTCTGTCCTCTGAACAGGGGAAACACTAATACTGTTAATATAGGCTACTTCATGTTATTTTTTTGTTTTTTTAAGTATTTTAGTAAGACAATGCACCAAAATGAATTGATAACCTTGGTTTTGATGCCGTGTGAAGAGCTTAAGTTGATGATCTCATAAGGCATTTCAATGGACATAGACAGAGAAAACTCCCTGAAGAAAGAGAATGAAAATGAAACCGAGTTACAACAACGCTGTGCCTTATTTAGTGACCATCCACAGTTCAACTAGACCAGGTGCTACTGTATATATAGCATGATGTTATAAAGGTTAAAGGTTAAATGATGCTACATGTGGTTTGCTACATTAAATATTCAGCTTTTATATTGTTAGTCATTAGCATGTGCAATTAATTTTTAGTGAATCTTGAGTGAATTTCCCTGTGAATTCTCCAGTATTTTAGATCTTCACCCTTCTGACTGAAGCTCTGTCACACCAATCTTGTCAACAGTGGCCTGAAATGCAACACAACTGTCAGTCAAAATGCTAGCAATCAGCAGGCCAAACAGGATTTTAAATACAATAACAAAAGAGTGTCGTACCTGAGTAGTCTGATTAAGGGCGGCTCTCTGTTGCCATGGTGCCACACTGCCAGACAGTGAGAAGACTATAGAGCCTGATCTGACCACCAGCTCAGTGATGAACGTCACCTTGATCAAAACTGTGGCTCCAGGAGGAAGATTCCCCACACTGATAGTAAATACATCCTGCCTCACATAAACACATGACCTTAAAGAAACCTTCTGATACATTATCACACACACATGAGCTCCAGATCAGTTACAGTAACTCACAGGGGCATCCTGGTCCATCAGGTAGGCTCCATGACCTTTCTCTATGGCTTGCTTGTACTCCTTACGAGCCTGCTCCTTTTCCTTTACCTACAGGACAAAAACAGACATTGCAAATTGATGAAAAAGATGTTTAAAGAGTACAGGCTGTATTTGACAAATTCTGAATGACTCGCACCTTTCCAATGACATGCTTTCCATTGATAAAGGCTTCAAATCCACACACTGCTGCCATCTCTTCCAGTGGAAAGACATACTTTGCTTCAATGGGAACAGCACTCTGGTTTGTGTAGGTCTGAAATATGATGACCTGGTGGAAATAGAGATGAAATTAATGCTGTAGTTTGAAATTATATTTCAGTGTTCTGGTCTACATGTTTGGATGTGGGATTTTCTTTTATTTAGTTATTTTTACTTTGTTCCCGTGGTCTTGATTGTGTCCAACGCTGCCTTGTTCTAGTTTCATTTTATTATTTTCCATTGTGTAGTTCTTTTGGTTTACTTTGGAATTCATCATGCTCATTTCTTTTCATTTCAAACTGCAGTCCACCGCTGTAGTATCATACCTGACACAGCAGGTCCATCAGCTTGCACCTCACATTGACAGCCTGTAGAGGAAGTTTCTGACCACTGCTGTCCAGCAAACCTGCGTTCATCTCCTCCAGAGGATTCTTAATGGACTCCAAACCCTCACTGTCATCACTGGACACTAAAGAAACACATTCGCACAAAACCACTGATGAATTTAAAAACACAAATTTTAGCATATTATTAAGATTTCAATTAATTTGATAAAAAAATGTAATAGATTTGACAGCGCTAGTTAAAACTGATTCCTCCACATATAAAAGCTGGTCTCTGAGCATGTCCTGTTCACTAGATATTACTCACAGATATCAGGTGTTGTGTCGGTGAGCTGTGTGAGCTGAGTGTTGATTTGAGGCTGGAACTCTTTTAACTCGTCTCCCTCCAGACTGTACAGCACCACATACTTCAGTCTGATCTGCTCTGTGTTATAGACGACAAACTCATCATCCTGTCAAATATAAACACACACACACACACACACACAAATGCAAGAGTCACATCAGATCCCAAAAACAGAAGCAGAATATTTAAGTACAGAGAAAATGAGTAAGAAAAGCACCTCAAATTCAGAGAGTCTGTTGGGAGAGCGGCGGACTCCATGTACACTGTGGTAGCCGTCAGGAGCACAAGTCAAAGTGGTGTCTTTCTTCAGCAGGTCCTTACACCGACCCAACGCCACTTCACACACCAACAGCAGCCGAGAGCCGTCAGTCACACTGGGCTTGGAGTATTTCACACTAGTCCTTTAACACAGAGAAAAAACGTACTGACTGGTTAAAATCTCCAGTTGTCATCATGATAGTGGATTCACATTATTAATAAATCTGTTATATTAAGAGATGACTGAGTAATGCTAAAAAACCACTGACTTCAGAGAGTCACTGAAGTAGATTCCTCCTCCAAGATTGCCGATATCCGTCCTCTCAATTCCATGCTGTTCGACTCCAACCCTGGGCAGCAGCAGACCTCTATAAAGAATGTTTAAAAATGTATATTCAGTTAATTACATGATAAGCTGATCAATCAAATGAATGACAATTAATCATATACATATCAGCATTTTCTATTGCACAAGAGTAAATTACTGAACAGACATTAAAAAAAGTAACTTAAACCAATGTATAGTCAGATATTAGATTTTTTGTTTTTCAGGATTGGTCAACATGGTATTTTTGTATTCCTTATTTCCTTGATTGTTACATTAAGATTGTCATAATTCAGAACTCACTTAAAGTTAATATTTAAATAAATGATTTATTAATAACTCTCACCGTGACAGTATTCCAACAAAACTGCTGGGACTAGTGGAGTGGAGGAGGGGTTTAATGTTGCCTAAATCCTCCCTAAACAACTGAAGCTCCACTCCTCTGCTGACACGCAGTATCTGCTGAATCTGAAAAGGCCTGTAGTGCATATAATATTAACATTATTATATAAAGACATGTTCTGAAATACATTCATGTTTGAACTTCAGACCACAATCAGCACAATCACGTCTACCTGTCCTGAAGCAGTTGAGAGATAACATGAAACTCAGGGTTTTGTGGTGGAACAACCTCAATGCTGCACCTCAGCGCTCGATATTTTCCCAGAGACGAGGGTGAGGGGCATCCCAGAGTGGCCTCACTCACATTTACAATATCTCTGATCAGCTGGAGACGACAGAAGAGTTAAAAGAGTGAAAAGGTCAGATCTGCACTGCTGAATTAAAAAGCCAAATTCAATCCTCAAATGTAAAGGAATTTAATTCAGTATTTGTTTGACTTTCATTTATTTAAACTAAGCATTGTATTACGGTTTAAAAAATCTATTAGTTTGTAATGATCTATCTATATATTGAGAATGATGTATATGATATATATATATATATATATAATGAGAATTACAAAAAACCCTAAAAGTAAAACCATCCAGAAATGAAAGTATTAAAAAAAATAGCTTAATTATCATGAAAATAATATTATAATACCATGATCTTAATGGTCCTAAAGAACTCTTAACTTTTATAAAGAATATCTCTTTGGATTTGAGACTTTAGTCTTTGCAACTTTACAGATCTTCTTTATGCACCAAGAGCTTGTAACACTCTAAAGAGAAAGGAAAAAATGAAATCGCATCATATGACCCCTTTAATACTATAATTGATGTATGTGATACCTGACAAAGGTCCAGTTTCTGAGACACAAGCTTGTGTTTGGAAGGAGGGTCGATCATTCTGAGGGGCAGAAGAGTGTTGACCTCCTCCAACAGGGCTTTGACTTCATCCTCTTTCTCAGTCTTTTGTGCCTGCAGTAACAATCCCTCCACCCTGCTCACCTGCAGCAGCACAGAGCCAATAAACACACCGGAACCGTTAAACACAGCAAATTCCTGTCAGCTTCTCCACTGCACTGTGTGTGATTATCTAAGCTCATTCTCACGTCATTGAGGCTGATTCTGGAGACAGGGACTGTCAGGATGTTATTAAGGGAACCGAGAGCTTCAGTCCAAACCAGCTCCACAAAGACACCAACTTCCTGTGACAATGTGCTGCAGTTCAGCTTCTCCTCCAACAGCAGCTGCCAATCAAAAGAGTGAGCAATTACTTCACACCCATTAGTCACATGTTATACATATATCAAATGAATAAAAACAGATCTGCGTTGTGTTGATCTAACCTGCTGCAGGCTGTAGGATGCCAAGCGCTCAACCTCAGGGGAAAGTGTGTGTGTCTTTGTGAATCCCTCTGTCCCAATCTCCTTCATCAGCTGCAGATATGCTTCCACAGCATCTTCAGATGTCACGCAGAACACAAGCTTGTCCTGAACCACTGTGGTCTATAGCGAGAGAGAGTCCATCACCATCACCACAAGACAAATTCAGCACCTCCGTCACCATCTGTGATTCCAGAGATAACAACATTCATGATCATCAAACCTCAGCTTCACGCAAGACTGAACACAACACACGATACTGCTGGCCTGCTCGGCCTTTGGCACTCTGCAGCTCCAGAACAGACAAAGTCTTGGGTTTGACCTGAAACACACAATTAAACACTTGCAGACATGAAAACACTTACAAACAGTTGTGGGCGCTAATAGAATCAGCTCAAGAATGTGTTAAAGGGGTCACCAATCATTATTCACTATTTATTTTATTTTCCCCCTGATGTCCAGTAATAATTTTATTGTGATTGATGCATGAAGTCACTCACCCTCTCAAAAACTGAATACTTGGCCACTTGAAAATATGAAGGAAATTCAGGCAGGTCATGGTCGCCTTCTTTGTAAACTCTGTGTTGAGTGAAGGGAAAAGATGCAGTCAGGTAAACAAGCACATCTAAACAGGTCAAATGCTGTAGAAACTGATTAAAAACAAAAAAACAAACAAAAACAAACTCAAGAACAAACTCAAGAACCGACAGTGATAAAAAACAAGAGCGCACCTGAACCTTGCAGGACGGGGTCCACTCTTCTGAAGAATCTCAGCTTCAGTCTTTGGGAGTTCAGGGTGACCTTTGAACTTCTCTTTTCCTAGTACGTGTGTTGACACTTTTACCTCTTTGTGGTGAAAAACAACATTATGTCAACAGTGTCACTAAAATACATGGTTTAATCTCACTTAATACTTTTATAACCCAAATATGTCAAATACATTTCTCACCAAAAATGCACTGCAGAAACTACAACAACAACAACTCAACCTTGCCAAGACAGAACTACTTGTGCCCAACTCAATCCCAGCAGCTGAGTCCTTAGCCATCTTCAAGAATAGGCTAAAACACATCTCTACCATCTTTTTTTGACCCTCTAACTCTAGAACTCTCTATTCTAATTCTATTCTTTAAAAAAAAAAAAACCCTTGTCCCTTTTAGACTTGCGCTCTATTCATTTGCTGCTTGTTTTCTTTAAAAAAATACTAACACTTGCTTTTTAACCTTTTTGTATTCTATCTGTTTTCTTTTCATTTATTATACAATTAACAAAAGCAAAAAAGACCTCTAACACTAGTTTGCTCTATTCTTTTTCTATTCTATCTGTTTTATTTATTATATTTAAAAAACCCTTGCTACGTGTACTGCATTAAGCTAACTGAGACTTGTTATAGCACTTGTATATCATTGCTCTTTTGTTGATTTTTATTGCTTCCATTGTCCTCATTTGTAGGTCGCTTTGGATAAAGGTGTCTGCTAAATGACTAAATATAAATGTAAATGTAAACTACAGAAAAAAACAAATCCACTGTTAGCAAATAAAACTAATGTGGCTGTGACACTCCCATCTGTTCTGTCACTCCACCTCCTTTCACATCTGATGTAAGTAAACCTTAGTTACAGTATCACTTCAGACAAACATCTGTTCTAACAAAGAAAGTTTGAGAATTCCTTAAATGAGGTACAAGAAACTCCTACCTGAAGCAGGGAGGAATTCAGAGCCGGGATATGGCAGCTGTGGGGTCAAATTATGCTCCGTCAAAGGCAGGAGATGCCCTTGGTCCAGACAGCTCCACACATACTGTGTCCCGACCACTGGAATCTGCAGCTTCTGGATGCTGCGCTGCCGGTTACTGCTCAGATCATTCACACTGCTAGTGACTACAAAAGAGCACTGGAGGAGATAAACGGAGGTCAGAAGAGACACTGCAGCTCTTTAGAGACTCAGTAGGACCACTGAACACTTATTACTTATTTTAAGCATTATAAAGCAGAAAGTGCTCGTTAATTTTAACCACAAAAAATGTGTGCATGATTAGAAAATGTTAAATAGTCATATAAAAATTGTCACACTTGTACTCTTAGCATAGGAAATTAATGGGAAATACAAAAAACCCCATCAAAATACAGAGGGGGATACAATCTACAAATTAGCCATTGAGCAGAAAAAAAGCAGTTTTACACATGGTTTTCTTTATTTCTTACCACAATATGGCACTAATCTGCCTGTAGTCATTGAATTATAAATGTTGCTGCGTTATTTTTAACTACTTAAAGTTAACAGTATCAGAGGGTTCAACAAACCAAATGTCTGTAAATTGTGTAAATGTAATTTGAAACCCAACTCTTTATCTATGTATAAACAAACTCTCAGTGTAGCTGCTCTTAGTTTTAATAGCACAAAAAAGAAGATAAAAGAGTAAGAGTAAAAAATGAACAGGAACCTCTTTGTTGATGACATATGAGATGTTTCCTCCATTCTCCAGAAGAGCTAATCTCAGTTTATTCTTCTCGTTAAAAGGCAGGTTCTTCACATCTAACACAACAGTACAGTTTTCAAACACTGTCATGGTGCCAGCGTGTCTGAACATTTGGAGAAAAGCGAAAGAACAAAGAAAAACTGCGATGAATCCTACAGTAAATATATCAATCACATTAACACTATGAAAATAATAATAGCATATTTCTTATTGGCGTATCAACACAAAACATGTTTGAGTAAACCCATTGACTATTCATTAAATAAATCAGACTTTATGCACAATACTCATATTGGCACATGCACAAAACATGTTAGATTTCTCAAGTTGCTATCTTTCTCTGGATAGAAAGCAGTAGACAATAATGCAAATCCTGCTGCAGTATCTCTCTTGCTAGTGTCATGTCATTAGCAGACAGAAGAGTATCTTACCGCGGACAAAGTCAGAGTCGAGTGACACGTTTAGGTTTTGAGAAAATACTGTTAAAACGTAAATAATCTGCAGTGTAAAGTTAGGTAGGTACAAGTGCTTCCTGACTCGTACTTACAGTAAAGACACGCCTCCATTCCTCCCTGAGATAAAAACAAGACGGGCTCCATCCACTGGTCTAAACCGTCCTTGCACAAATTACCACAATTTACCGTAGATTTACGTGGGGGAAAAAACGTGGCGAGAGTTTGAGGAGAGAAAAGTTCGTAGTGGTCCAGTTGAATAATTAGTTATTAATTAATTTGGGTGACGAGACAAAGTCTGATTTTGAGATCTGGAAAAAAAATCCTTAGAGGATCTGTCACAGCAGTTTTTATTTTGATATCACCGACTGACATTTTTCTGACTGATAAAATAGACGGAAAATGTACAACATAGTCCATAAGGTTTATACGCACACTTACTACTACTACTACTACTACTAATATATATATATGTGTGTGTGTGTGTGTGAAAAACCGGCATATGCTGGTTAGGTATGTTTTGAAGCTGGGATGCTGGTTTGAGTTGGTTTAAACTGGTCCTTTGCTGGTCCTTAGATGGTCATGTGCTGGTCTTAAACTGGTCGGACCAGTTTAGGACCAGCACATGCCCAGCTAAGATCATCTTAAACCAGCTAAGGACCAGCATAAACCAGCAAAGGACCAGCTTAAACCAGCTCAAACCAGCATCCCAGCTTCAAAACATACCTATGCTGGTTTTTTCAACAGCATCTCAAAAAATTAGAATATTGTGAAAAAGTTAAATTTTTTGTAACTTATTTCAAAAAGTGAAACTTTCATATATTCTAGATTCATTACATGTAAAGTAAAACATTTCAAAAGTTTTTTTGTTTGCTTGTTTGTTTTAATTTTGATGAAAAAAAAGTGAAAAAATGAAAGTGAAGTGACTTGTGGGTTGTGGCCAAGTATGGTGTCCCATACTCGGAATTTGTGCTCTGCATTTAACCCATCCAAGTGCAATGACGAACTTTAGACTGTGAAAAAGAGCATCTTTCAGTTGAGGCATTAAACTGGCCTCATGACATTTTGTTTTCATGAATTCCCCACCTCAATTACTAATTTTACCTGGTTTTTTTTTTTTGAAGGGGGTAGCACATTCTGATGGCTGGTAGGCTGTTGTGAAAAATTAGCTTGCTGCTGGAGCTATTTTTATTCCGGCCAGCAGGGGGTGCTCATTCCCTGACTTGTATGGGTCCAAAAGTCTTAGTATAACGATGCAGACTTTTTTTTTTTTACGCTTCATTAATATGATGCACGTACAATTATCCATGTACTGCATACATTTTATACATTTATTTTACTAACCACAAACAAATGGCTTTCAATTTGATTCTGTGGAATTCAGGATTAAATTATTGTGCAGCGATTTGTACAAATACAGACATGTTTGCGAATAAAAATGTTCTGTTCTGCATTAATATATCATAAATTGCTCATGCAAAAAGGAATCCATGCATATGTGGATCAGGTGACACGCGTGCATTAATGGAAGTCGATCTTGTTCGGTTAATTTGGATTTTGAGACTTCATTTTCGCAGTTTACAGCATTTCACGTCCCCCACACACACAACTACCAACGAACAAGGCCCAGTGCAATTCATTAAGGTGTACACGATTTTAAAAATTAGCAAATGTGCGTCACTACCAGAGCATGTGAGCGAAGTGGAGCGGTGTGACGCTCCGCTACGTTTTCCGCTCTATGGACGTGCGCTCCACTCAGTCGCTCTAACCGCCCAAGCAAGCGCTCCGTTAATATTAAAGGAAATATTACCCCTCCGCTCCCCGCTCCGCTCACGCTCCGCTCACATGCTCTGGTCACTACACTGAAACAAATGCTTTTCAACCGGTGTCTGCAGAGTTAAGAATTACATTAATGTGCAGCATGCGTGCATCTATTAATCATTTTGAGCCTAATATAATCCCATACATTAAAAGGTTTTTACAGTCTGAAGTCTGCATCGTTATAACACTTTTGGACCCATACAAGTCAGGGAATGAGCACCCCCTGCTGACCGGAATAAAATTAGCTCCAGCAGCAAGCAAATTTTTCACAACGGCCTACCAGCCATCAGAATATGCTACCGCCGAAAGCTGTGCGAACGCGGAAAGTGAAGTATACCTGGTCATTTACGCAGAGCAAATGGGCGGAATCCACCCCCCTATTTTTGCTTTTGATTTGCTGATATTCAAATCATTTAGGGAAATTCAGGGGAAGTTAATAATGGCTTTTACATTTTCAGTTAGCTTAACGCAGTTCATGAGCGTCCCCCTTTGCTTCCGTTATGCGCCCTAATTTGGCACTTCTGCCGAGTCCACACTGAAGCAAGCTCTGCAGCGACTGCTACCCAACAGTAAAGCGGCATTGTGTCACGAAAGTTGTAAACCGGCTCTACTGTTTACATCCTGAAACCCGGCTGAAACGAACGATTCGTTCAAGAATCGAACATCACTATAAACCCCATGTATGCATATGAGTGTGATGGTGCTTAAGTCATTTTATTAAAACTGGGGAAAATACACCAGCTCTTGCCTCTTGAGCATAAAATAAATCCATATAAATCGAGCAGTTTAATCCAAGTCTTCTGAAGAGACACACTCACTTTATATGATGAACAGATTTTAATTTAGGCTTTTATTGAGAGAATGAACCTCGTTGGTTCTCATGCATCAAGCAAGCATACTGCTGGGTGTTTCAACTAGGTCCGATGAGACCAGAGCAGGGCTAGGCCCTTGCATGTCTATTATACTCACCTGCTATGTGTTGTACTTAGATTTTGGAATTGTGATGTATTTACGTGGAAGGGATTTTATACATTCCACAACACTGTAAAATCAAACCTATAGGATCTACTCAATAAAACTGAGGTAACAATTTCCATTCAATTTGTTTGGGTAGATTCCATCCTACACTGTAAAAAATGACCGTGAATTTAACAGTAAAAGACTGTAAAAATGCTACAGTAAAAACTTGTTAAATGGTTAACGGTAAATTCCCCTACTATATACGGTGAAAAACTGTATTGGACATTACATGTATTGGACATTAATTTTACGGTAGTATACCGTTTTTGGAAGTGAAAAAGACCGTATAATTTACAGTGAATAACCGTAAATTGACATTCCCAGAATTCCCTGCGTTACATTTCAAATTTGATGTTTTTTTGTTGAAATAACTGTTTCTTCTTAGTTTTTTCTTATCAGTTTTGTATATTAGGGTTGTGTGTTACACCTAATGTTGTTAAATTAATGTTTATTGCATTATTTCAGTTTCATGTGTGTTACCATGATGGTGTTTGGTGTTTGTGTGAATGACACTGTGCACCTTCTATATATTTTATTATTTAAAAGCTGCTTGTGATGGGCTTTGTTTCATCATGTGACTTTCTCATCACCTCCTGCATTTGGTGGTTATCCGTGTATTACAAAGGTACAAAACAGATTTTAGTACTTCAATAGGTTGGTATATTAACATTATATCAGTTAATGAAATTACGGTATTTAACTGTAAATTTAAGTTAAAACCGTAAAACCTAAAATGTTGCTACCGTATTTTTTACGGTAAAATTCCGGCAACCACAGCTGCCGGTTTTTTACCGTAAATTTTACGGATTTTTTTTTACAGTGTATATATTTGAGTAAAGAGTACCTAAATTTAACAAATACAACACACTAAAAGAAATTAGGTAAAGTCTACCTAATATTTCTTAATACATTACACAACTAATTATCTATAAAAATTGAGTAATATTAACTCTATTGTTGGCAGGCATCAGTTCATCTACTTAATTATTATTATCAGTAATTAGCCAATAGGAATAATTACACATTATTTATTCGGTTCAATTTACCTAAAAATGGTCAGACACAGGATATTGCATCAATTACTTTTATTGACCAAATAATAAACATTTCTTGATTGACCAAATAACAAACATTTAAAATGGTTTAATGTATAAGAACCCTCCTACCAATTTCAAGTAAAATACATCTTCATATCACTCGGATAAAATTAAACTTCTTGAACGCTTCTCATTCAAAAATAAACCAATGTCTTCATTCATGTCAGAATATGCACTAAAAACAACATTCTTAAATTGCATGTCTCACATTTTGTCATTTCAAACAATAAGAAACTGCGATTTGATGTAATGTGTGACTACAATGGTTGCAACACTTGAAATGAGAGGCTGGGTCCTCCTTGGCTTTGGGATCATGCCTCACCAACACCTTTTTTTTATTTTTGTGTTGCCCTCAAGTTCATCCTCCTGTTAAAAAGAAAAACAAGAAGCATAAATTTTATGTTAGTTTAAGCATATTAACATGCTGTTCCAATAAAGTTGTTTTCTAGGTGATTCTACATTGCTAGCATGATGGAATTCCAAAGTTCTTTCAATGTGTCTTATTTATAAAGGTGGGCCATCATATACTCCAATAAAAAAGACTAAACTCCCTAAATTTAATGTCAAGCACAATTAATGCTCATACATGTAATTCTTAAAGGGTTCACCTGAAAATGAATGCCATCATTTACTTACCCTCATGTTGTTTCCAAAAATCAGAAGACTTTCGTTCATCTTCAAAACACAAAGGAAGATGAGATTTCTGTCCCTCCACTGAATGTCAATTCAACCAAAACTGACGCTTCAAAAAGTTCATAAAGAGATGGTCAAAACTTGATATGATCTAGCTATAGGCTTTTATTCGCATATAAATATTGATTTGCAAACAGTGTTTGCAGCATACAATTTGGTAAATGGAAGCTAGTTGGCTATCCACAGCGTTAGACCAGTGTATGCGATTAAAAGGGAATAGAAGCAACAACAACATATTGGTGCACTTACAACATACATTTAGCTCAGGTTAGGGCTGGACGATATGGCCAAAATTGATATCACGATATAAACGGCACAAATAAATCAATGTATGGGAAACTGGTAATGTATATCGAAATATCGGAAATGTGTTTAAAAATCATATCACCGTTATTGAAAAAAATTATATCGCGATACATATTGATATTGAATTATTGTCCAGCCCTAGCTCAGGTGAGTGGATTATTGCATACAA